ATAAACGTAGTATATAGTACGAATAAAGATTTTTTTTTTGAAAATAAAATACAATACGATAACAGTACTTTAATCATATAGATGTACATCACTACCAAATAATATACTTCTAAATCATTTCCAATATCTATACTATTACTATTATAATTACAAAATTATCTATTATCATTAACCAAACAATACACGTATGAATTATACAAAGAGAATTCACTTTTAATGAATTAAAAAAGATATTTGCACTGTATGCTAATACAAATTCAAAAATTATACTAAAAAGTAACATGGGCTTGACGAAATTTTTCTTTTACAAACCGTATGTACTATCTTGATTTTTACACATCCGTCCTAATTTGTGTTTCCATACCTACTATACTCGTACACATAAGTGTCTCTGTCATAGAAGTTCAGTGAATATCTAGCAAGCGAAATGTCAAAATATAGCTTGCATATGTTAACGATTAGTTTTTTTTTAAAAAAAATACGCTGTATAAAAATATGCTAATTTCAAAAAAAAAAAAAAAAAAACATAAAAAAACCAAATTAAACACTAAAGAGCTCATCATTAACTTCTCTTAAATTTAATGTATTTTGTATTGCTATTTGCTCTTGGGTTTCATTTGTGATTTCAGCCGCCGTGTATTCATTGTATTCATTGTCATTAGAGATTGCTGTTTCTTCTCCGACAATAATTTTTATGGATTCTCGAGATGGGGCACCATTATTTTCAAAGTCATACTAAAAATTATCATTATGAGTAACAATTAGAGATGTACCTAAAACTAGTATACTTCACAAATTATGACTATAAAAAAAGCCGATCTATGTTTTATATTCTGTATTTTGCCTATAAGATTATTCGGCTTGCCTAGATTTTGTCGATCAAGTTGCAAATTCATGAAGTTTTCACAAAAAAATAATGAAATATTCATAAAAAATTTTTACAGAGTTACCCAATCGCTATCTTTTGTGTGGTACATATATCTTTACAGGCCCATATTATTTTACTTAAATATGCTAAAACTAATAACATGCTAAATTGTTACCTTAAGTGACTGCTAGTGAGGTGATTGCCAAAATTTCTACTTACAATATATCTTTCTAATCTTCATTTCATTCTATTTTCAGTGCATGTGATTCCTTTCGAAGCTGGGTTAAGAAGTATATCGCAAACTACAAGTCTAAAGCATAGTGTGTATTTGTCAGATTCAGAACTGATGCTTTACTAAATGCACATCACGCAATTACTGTAATCTAGTATATTCTATCATCTTATATTGGAAAAGCGAGTTAAAGCACTCGGAAACTTTTAGGTTGCTTTTCCATGTGACAATATTGGAGATAGATGAATTATTTTTTAATGTTGATAATTTTTCTGCACCAAATACACGAAATGTCACCTTTCTAACATTAGATAATGCTGCGCCTTGTATATTTTTTATTTTTAATAATAGCTATTGATAAAAAATAAGAAATTTTTAGTATGTATCTTAGTTTGCAACCTAAAAATTTAGAATAATTTAAAATTACATAATGTATATATCTAAATTAAAACTTGTCTATACTAGAGTTGCTGGTGAAACTAAATTGTGCTGGTGAACTGGTAACTATCTAAAATCTGATTGGCTATTGCACTTAATAGCCAATCAGATTTTAGATAATCACTAGTTTCACAGCACAATTTAGTTTCACCAGCAACTCTAGTCTATACCAATAATCACGTGATATGTGTCAATTTTGAGTTTTTGATGAACTGTCTGGTAGATTAATGGAGCAACCAAAATTTAGCAGAATGACTAAAATTTAGGGTCAGAATAAACAAAATTGATAAATTTCTCAAAATTGCCAAAATTTTATTAATGAAATAGTAGTCCATGTACTAAGTAAAGTGTAGTATAGTCGACTTTTATTATTGCTTAATGCCTGTCTAGCTTCAGATCTATTCTGATTCTAAATTTTAGTCAATCGGCTAAATTTGGTTACTTCACTAATCTATCTGGTAAATTTATAGCAACGTAAGCTCTATAAAGTTGCTGAATAGTTTTTTAAAATGTTTCCTATAAAAAATTTTACCGATTTAAATATTTAATATTTAAATTTATCTGCAGCTTATAGGAATTGGTATTATACATACTTAAAATTATCGGTCAGTTTTTGAATGCATTGTCTGCATAGAGTTGTAAGGTTTTTACTTTTTTAATCACATGATTGTTGGGTATCATATAGGATCTTTGCAACCCTCAATAAAAAACAATTTTCTAACGGCCAAATACCAGAGGTATAAGTCATGGGAAATATAGAATACCAGGTACTTTATATGGTAAAGTACGGTAATTAAATATGGTAATAAATATATACCGGACAAAGCTATTCACCATGAAAATGATTATGAAATTGATTTGGGCTGAGGCTAGCAAACAGATCATGGTATTTTTCTTCCAAGTATGTCTTTAATGTTTCTTTTAGAATATCTTGTGTTGGATAGAGGGTTTTCAGAAAAAGACATTTTATGACTCATTTAAAAATGGACTATTAAAAAATAGGCTAAATAAACGGTATGTTTCTATTTACAATTTTCAAAAAAAAATACTTATGTCTAATACTTGAAGAGAGAGCTCATTTTCTTGCTCAACACTTAGTTTTTTGTGCTCATTTTTAATTTTATTTAGATCATCGTTATTCTTTAATAACAACAAATATAGTTGTCTGCTCTGTTTAAATAATCATTCATCAATTTGACGATGACGTTCTAAAAAAATTTTAATCAACGTTGCTA